TTCCTCTTCTTCCTCTTCTTCTTCTTCTGCTTCCTCTTCTTCCTCTTCTTCTTCTTCTGCTTCTCCTCTGCCTCCCATCCCTCTTCTTCTTCTTCTTCTTCTTCTTCTTCTTCTTCTTCTTCTTCTTCTTCTTCTTCTTCTTCTTCTTCTTCTTCCGCTTCCTATGCTGTGTTGGCCATTAAAAGATGGGTTGGAATGTTAAGTTGCGGTTTACGGGCATGCTGCGATAAATGTGCATTTCGGTCCAAAACATATGATTTCAGGAAAACGATTTTGTCTTTTAGTACATGCTTATTATGGGAGGACAGTAGGTGTATTTTCCACGTCCTCTAGCCTAACAATTAAGGGAGGACAGTAGGTGTATTTTCCACGTCCTCTAGCCTAACAATTAAGGGAGGACAGAAGGTGCATTTTCCACGTCCTCTAGCCTAAAAATTTCTGAAACACACATGGGGATTGTAACTAATTCTGTACAGAGAAACTCGCCACACGTTTATCTGCCATTCTTTACACGACTTTTCATTATCTATTGGGAGGAGAAGGAGGGGGGGGGGGAGAAGAAGAAGAAGAAGAAGAAGAAGAAAAGAAAAAGACAAATAAGAAGATAAAAGAAGAGGAAGAAGAAGAAAAAGAAGACGAAAACAAAGAAGTGGAAAAAAAAAAAACACACGTAAATGTTCTTTCAACATTTAAACACAAGTCCAAATTTAAACACCACCCCCCCCCCCCCCCTTCCTTACCCCGAAATCCCCACATTTATTTTTCTTTTTATCCATCTCAGCTCCCTGTCCAGAACCTACCATTTTCTATCCCATACAATTTTTTTTTTTTAATTCTAGCCATCCGCTCAACATGAATCACCTGTACAGGTGCTCAGATTTCAACATCAAACACCGCCAGTTGGATCCCCTTTAGTTAAGACCAAACTCGGTTCTCACGCGCACATCTTCTGCTAAGAAAGAAAAAAAACACCACCCAACCATACACCTTGTCGCGACAGCAAACACCTAACCCACCCTCGCTACGAGCCACAGCCCACTAATCTCCCGTCTTGGAACCTTAACCTTAATCGTCTGCACAGGGTGGAACCATGCTGTATCTCAACCAGGTGATCCACAACAGAAGACATGTTTTCTTTCGTTCCCACCAACGCTGGCCCGGGTAGAATGTTTCACACGCTCTGCTCGCGCCCAGACTGTGTGACACCAGCTGTTGCTAGGCTCTTCTAAACGCTAGTCGCTATTTTAATGCCACATACTTGTTTTGGGGACAATGTGGTGTTTTCAGATTCGACTCAAGGGCGACGCCGCAAAAAAAAAAAAAAAAATATTTTGGAGCGCTCAGTCCCCCTTATAATGTTCTAGTGGCAGGGGGTAAAATAATTTTGGCCTGGTACAAGTACAATTAAATAATAACAATTAGTACTTTTTATTACTATCGTTATTATTAGTACTGAATGGGAAAATATAAAATAATATATCATAATAGTGTGTACTTTTGCAGGTACAATTTCAGGTTTTGGGACTGACGTTTACGCCAACAGTGAGCTGCAATTCTAGTTTGACTGACAGGTACCTTGTGCATTTTTTGCTTTGCATCTGCAAGCTTCAATGTTTTGCTGGGACTCACACGATTTTCACTAGTTTTCAACCGGGTTAGTGAATAACATTTTGTGAGATTGCCATTTGCACTTGAACCAAGCAGTTATGAGGCCAATCAAGTCTGCAATGAAACTGGGACGTCGATTAACACACACACACACACACGCACACACACACGCACGCACGCACGCACGCGCACGCGCGCACACACACACACACACACACTCACCCGGACGAGTCCAGAAGTGGACGAAAAACGAGAACTTTCCGCCGCAGTTTACAGTCCGAAAAAAAAAAGAAGAATAATTTTGTAGACAATCTAGTATACATGTACCAGGAGCGTTGTTTATGATTGACAAAGCTCTGCTGTACACGTCTATTCAATTTTTCTTTTTGGTTTTTAAGAACTGTTTTATTCTCATCCTTGAAGTGTTAATCTTACCAGTTGCAATATTGGAAGTAAAAACCCTACCTACCCGACCCCGTTACATAAACAGACATACATTTCCAGCGGCCTATCTGCATTAGTTTCCATAGCCTACCAGTGGACCGCGCGGCCCAGTGCTTAAAGAACACCATATGCCTCATTTCCGCAATGATATCAAAAGGGCCATTTATCTTTCACAACGCAAGTAATGAAAATAATACAGCCGTTTAATTCAAAGGGAAACAACTGGGAGAGAATAACGACAAACGAAGAAGATAACACACAATCTAGGGGGCAAATGGAATGATTGTGGGAACTGCTCAATGTGTTCTATTCGCGACTGGAACATGTGTTGCGGAAGGAAATAAAAACAGAATCAACAAAAGAAGACAACTAGTACTCACACAGCAAGCAAGCCACCCTGGGAACTGCACGGATGGGTGGCAACGAAGACGCGGTCCTTTGTCACGGTTCTTTGAACACGCTGCATTCAAACAGAACTTAATATCAATCGGCGCTTTTATGTTGTTCTCTCACGGTGCATGCTGGGTATCTGCGCAACATTTTGTGTAATCACTTTTTTTAAAATTCTCTCCCTGTGCGCTTTATCTGATTTGTCAGTGCTGCATTTGAATCAACCAACACGTAAGGTCTTTAAAAAGAGAGGTTAATTCGTTCCGTTTATGTAAAACATATTTTTAAAAGACTAGATATATTGCTATATATTTTCCCCATAGCGTCACCGTGGCGAACCGGTCAAGCCGCGTGACTCTAAACGTCGTAGGGTTGTTTCACAATTGTATCTTGTAGTTCACATGTGTCGTTCTAACGAGTTAACGCTAGGGATAGTCGCTACAGCTATAGTCTTCGTGCTCTGTACGACTCTCTCGCCAAGCGGCTGACAGAGAAAGTGCTAAATAGGATTTAACCAGGTGTAATAAAGTCAGTTCCCTCAACCAGAACTTTCTCTATTGCAAGAATTCTAAATCGTTGTAAACGTATCAACTGTTTTTCATTATTATATAACATAACCCTTGACCTGTTAGGGTCGGACAGGTGTATTGACGGAAGCACTAGCTCACAAACTCCGCCATCTTTTCCTGCCTACTGCTTGTTGGACAACTGTGTGATAAATCAGGCCTGTCCGTTTCTTGACGTTGTCTTTCTAGTTTCTTCTTTGCCCTCCTCTTCTTCGACTACATCCCCCCCCCCCCCACCCTTTTCCTAATGTTCTTGAAGTAGTCTTTGCAGTCGAATCATGTCTTATCACGTAACCGAATTACACTAACTTTTCCACTGTTCACTCTATCATCCTGATTTACATAAGTCGGTGGGGGGGGGGGGGGGGGGGGGCGTGGGGTCCCAATACCTGAAAGAGACTGGGAACAGCAACTCTAACCTGTTTCGCCAAACTGTCGGTGATCATTGCCATTTTTATCAGGTGAGTTGACCAACACCTTTCCTCAATCAGCCGCTCAACCAGCAACCCAGATAGAAACTACGTTCCTATTTACACAATCATTCGTATCATCCTACATTACGCGACTGAATTTCATCATTAACCTTTTAAAGTAATTACTTTTATTTTATTGGAATCACTGCTTCCAGTTTTATAAAATGCAGGAAGAGGATTAAAAATCTCTCTAAAAATTTTTATTTTTATTGCTACAAATACTGTTGAGCGTTTTACTAAGTCCAGGAGAAATAATTGAAAGAAATATATTTTATATATCATAAATTATGTATCCATCTTCAAAAGTCAGTACGGTTGTGTCTATTAATTTCTGCCACTGTCAGTATGCTATCCATTTAATTTCGTTGCTTTTCTGCCCTATGCTAAATTTTAAAGTTACACAGCCGTGACCATCACAAGAAATTAAAAGCTTGGCTCTGTTTAACAGAACAAAAGAAGAATTGAGTGTTATTTAAAGCATTATAAAGGTTCGAAATACACGCAAAGAGATCTTTGTGGCGTTTAAGAAGACATGCAGAGCTGGTGTATTGTATACGTTCAATGGAAGACAAGAAAAGATATTTGTGTACCTTGAAAAGGAAACAGGCAGCGTTTAATGTGTATTTTTAGTGCCTTTAAATCTTGGGTGAACCTTTTATTTTGGAATCTGGTTTGCGTTTTAGAACCTTCGTATACGCTTGTCTTATTATTTCTTTGCAAGGCTTTACAAATCGTTTTCTATCTAAGTCAGTGACTTTTTGGGTAAACTTTTTACAACGCTGTATGTGTTACTTCTGCAACAGCTGCTATCTTAATTTATTTTGGAAGTTGGTTTTTCTTTATCTGAGATTTTAGGTTCGGGCAATCGGTTAAATGCAATTTCAACTTAATAGAAAACGGTCAGCCCATAGTTGCTTCAGTCCTATGTCAAAGAAAACCAAGCAGAATGTCCCCCCTCATTGTCCCTTGAGGAGAAAACAAATGTACACAGACTGCAGTCTCGGCTAAGCTAATAGCACATATACGCATTCAGTGCATAAGGCAGCCATCAAAAGTGCCAACATAAACAGTTTGGCACTATAAGTGCAGTTCATCGTCGTTAGAAACAGCAGCTACACTAATTAATAGTTGCACACGCAATTAATTGCATAAAGCCCCACCAGCTGGAACGAACAAACAAGCTTTATCTGTAGGCTACAAGCCCTATACCGAATCTGCTGGCCACACACAAAGCACGCTGGGCACAGTCAAAAAGTAAACCAAAAAAGTGTCGATCTATGCATTAAACCTAGTAGCTGGGTGACGGAAATATATTTTTCAGTCTATGTGTGGAGGAAAATGCACCTGCCAACTATTTTCAGAAACTAAAACGTTCAAGACTTAAAAATAATAAACCTCTGTACGCACCATACTGAAGAGATAATATAACAGACGTATAGTAACGAACCATATAAACTACAAGTGTAATCAACAAACAAGCAATTTAACAAAGGTATAACCAACAACGATACAAAATAACAATGGTCTAGTCATTAAAGAGTTTTAGGTTAAGATTTTGACGAGGGATCAACATCGCGACACAAGAGTAATAATCCACAACTGCTCTATTCTACTTCTAACTCAAGCCTGAGTCCGAAGAATCTCAGCGCAGTGCACAAACTCCGTAGCACCGGCAAGGATCCTGAAATTCTTTGGGTAGATTTTTAACTCCAAATTGTGCTCAGGCAGGGCCAGTAGGCTACTCTTTTCGATTTCCAACTGCCAAGGGAATTTTTTATGTGCGCAACAATACACACAGGCGTCCAGTCTCACTACCCAGGCCTGAACCCCGGACCTCATGCACTCGAGAGAGACGCCATGCCTCGAGACAACGCAGCCCCCTCATGAAAGTGAAGACAAATGTCAAAAAAAAAAAAAAAGTATAGTGAGAAAGCGAACATGTAACATCTGACTAAGATACCCAAGATTTCCTACACGTGCAGGCCTCGACAAGGGCCCCAGCGAGAGACGACGAGGGTGTCGAAGGGCCTCTGACACCTGGTGCGAATGTTCCCACGGCAACCACAAAGATAACAATCATGGCCGTTCGCTGCAAGATGTCTTCGCTCGGCGCGGATAAATACGAAACAACATCATGATGAAGTAATTCGGCTAATTAAAAACATCAACGGAAAAGAAAAACTAGAAGCGCCGAGGAAGTGTCTCTATATATATATTACATGAAGAATGAAAGGATAGTTAAGAATGAGCTGACAGCGATAGCAAAAGACAAGGCGATATGAGAGAAAAGAAAAGAAGAAAGCAGAGGAGGAGGACAAGAAGATAAAACGGAAAAAAAAGGAAAAGAAAGAGAAAAAGAAGAAGAAGAAAAATAATAATAATTATTATAAGAAGAAGAAGAAGAAGAAGAAGAAGAAGAAGAAGAAGAAGAAGAAGAAGAAGAAGAAGAAGAAGAAGAAGAAGAAGAAGAGGAAAGAAGAAGAAGAAGAAGAAGAAGAAGAAGAAGAAGAAAAGAAGAAAAGAAGAAGAAGAAGAAGAAGAAGAAGAAGAAAGAAGAAGAAGAAGAAGAAGAAGAAGAAGAAGAGAAGAAGAAGAAAAGAAGAAGAAGAAGAAGAAGAAGAAGAAGAAGAAGAAGAAGAAGAAGAAGAAGAAGAAGAAAAAGAAGAAGAAGGAGAAGAAGAAGAAGCAGAAGAAGAAGAAGAAGAAGGAAAAAAGAAGAAAAAGAAGAAGAAGAGAAAAAGATGCCGCACAAGAACTTTAAATGTTCAAACATGGACACACACAGATGACTGTGACAGCGCTACGCTACTCACCGTGCTGTTGTCTGAACCTCTCCAAGAGGGTGGCATGCAGCTCCTCAATGTACCTGACCGCCTCTTCAATCACCTGAACCTGTAACAACCAGTCCTAAATGCATTATAATCAAGACAAAATAAGGTAATACAAAGTAAGACAGTGCAAAACAATTAATACAAAGTAAGACAATGGTCAAATTTTGATATAAGGCCAGACAATACTTTACTTTAAATACAAAGAGGAATATTGAAATGGTTTAGAAACTCTTCTAACACAAATGTGCAGTTAAATTTGCAATGGTATTTTTCATTTACCGTGAGATGCCTAAAATATCTTAACTGTCAATGTCTCATTTCTCTAACACGCTTGAGACAACGCCTAGATCTACTCGCATTGGTGCACAAGAGAGAGAGAGAGAGAGAGAGAGAGAGAGAGAGAGAGAGAGAGAGAGAGAGAGAGAGAGAGAGAGAGAGAGAGAGAGAGAGAGAGAGAGAGAGAGAGAGAGAGAGAGAGAGAGAGAAAATGCCCCCTGGAGCTACAACACCTTGGGTATGCAGAGGTAAAAGGTAATGAACGAGCGGACTACTGGAGCTACAACACCTTGGGTATGCAGGGGTAAAAAGTAATAAACGAGCGGACCACTCGAGCTCCAACACCTTGGGTATGCAGGGGTGAAAGGTAATGAAGGAGCAGACTACTGGAGCTACAGCACCTTGGGTATGCAGGGGTAAAAGGTAATGAACGAGCAGACTACTGAGAGCTACAACACCTTGGGTATGCAGGGGTAAAAGGTAATGAATGAGCGGACCACTGGAGCTACAACACCTTGGATATGCAGGGGTAAAAGGTAATGAACGAGCGGACTACTGGAGCTACAACCACTTGTGTATGCAGGAGTAAAAGGTAATGAACTAACGGACCACTGGAGCTACAACACCTTGGATATGCAGGGGTAAAAGGTAATGAACGAGCAGACTACTGGAGCTACAACAACTTGTGTATGCAGGTGTAAAAGGTAATGAACGAGCGGACCACTGAGGCTACAACACCTTGGGTATGCAGGGGTAAAAGGTAATGGACGAGCGGACCAGCTGGCAAGTATTCCACGACTATATACTGGCAGAAACCTGGCCAAAGCGGATAACATCAAAGCACAAGTTCTTGGCTGGTGAGACGAATCTCTGACCCTAACCGGTGCTTTCCTCATATCCTACCCCAAACAGGGGACATCCACAAGTCATAGGAGAATCTAATATTTCAGGAGGTGCAAGAAAGGCTACATGCAGTCGTGGGACCTAGCCTGCACTCTCTCGTGGGACGTAGGTGGGTTGGAGTTAGGGCAAATTCTATATGTTTTGGGGTCGTTAAAACATAAGAAGGAAAACCCCGTCTTATCCCCCTCTAAAATATTGGAGTGTCCTTTGACGTTATGAGGTGTAGGATATTACAAAGAACCCGCTAACCCGATTGCCTGACCCAAGAGTAAAGCTTAGTAAAGCACATCCATGCGGTCTACAAGATCACAATAAAAGACCCCCGTGTGGGTTCCGGGGCCCCATTGTGGGGAAAACAAGAATAGACCCACTGCCTCCCCAAAAGCATGTCGTAAGAGTCGACTAATTGGGAAGCTTCCTTTGAAGTCGGAGTGCATGTGCCGGAGAGGCAAGGAACCAACAGTCTGTATTCAAGAGAATGAGATCTGTAAAACTGATGCACACGCAACACTCAGGTTCTGGAGCAGGACTGCAGTTCAGTAGTGGACGAGCAACCAGAACCTTCCGCCAGAGTTTACAGCTGGTGAACGTGAAGAAGAAGAAGAAGATCACAATAAAAGACATTGTAACGCAATTCTCATGGGAACAATCAGTAGATTACCACGGAGTGGCTGCTGCATAAAAGAACTGAGCACACATGGGAATGCCATCTACCCGAGAGGCAAGGAATAAACAAATGCACACAAAAAGGTTAGTAAAACCCCTGGCAGGAAGACAAAGTCTAAATGGACGAACAGTCAGGACTTTCCGCCGGTGCTTACAGCCAGTGAACAAAGAAGAAGAAGAAGAAAAAGAAGAAGAAAAAAGAAGAAGAAGAAGAAAGAAGAAGAAGAAGAAAGAAGAAAAAGAAGAAGAAGAAGAAGAAGAAGAAGAAGAAGAAGAAGAAGAAGAAGAAGAAGAAGAAGAAGAAGAAGAAGAAGAAGAAGAAGAAGAAGAAGAAGAAGAAAAAAGAAGAAGAGAAAGAAAGAAGAAAGAAGAAGAAAGAAAAAATAAGAAAGAAGAAGAAGAAGGAAGAAGAAGAAGAAGAAGAAGAAGAAGAAGAAGAAGAAGAAGAAGAAGAAGAAGAAGAAGAAGAAGAAGAAGAAGAAGAAGAAGAAGAAGAAGAAGAAGAAGAAGAAGAAGAAGAAGAAGAAGAAGAAGAAGAAGAAGAAGAAGAAGAAGAAGAAGAAGAAGAAGAAGAAGAAGAAGAAGAAGAAGAAGAAGAAGAAGAAGAAGAAGAAGAAGAAGAAGAAGAAGAAGAAGAAGAAGAAGAAGAAGAAGAAGAAGAAGAAGAAGAAGAAGAAGAAGAAGAAGAAGAAGAAGAAGAAGATAACATAACACAGAAACAACCGTTACCTTGGTAACTTTTTTCTGTGCAGCTACAGACGGCACCAAAGCCCGTAGTTTCGAATACTCCCTTTCCCTGATCTTTCTCAGATGCATGCGAACTTGTCGCCTAGCAACCACTTGGGCGGCAGAAATGCCGTGATGGCGGTACGTGGTCATAGTGACCATCTGAAACAAGGAGAGTGAAGTTTTTATAAACTATCATTTCTGTTACATTTATAATAGTTCGTACATAATTCTATGACTCTTATGAGCAAATCAGACAAACAGACGTATGCAGCTTGCCTCATGTCCTCTCTCTCTCTCTTTTTAACGTCACTCGCCAGATCCCTTTTTCCGTGATGTATATGACCCCGTGGTTTCCAGTGTAAAGACATTCACTTATATTATTTTCAGTTTTTTTAAAATAAATAGTGTATTGCACGTTGGCGTCTGTGGCTTGGGCGTTGCGAACGCTCTTCGTAATTTCGGGGTGCCGGGTTCGATCCCAGCTGCGGGCCTGGCGCCTTGCGTTGGTTTCGACAGTGGTATCGAGAAGCTGACCGTCCAGAAAGCAATGGCAAACTACTAGACGTAAATTTGCCATGAAAAACCACAACAGCTACAAAACGTTGGGGTTGGTACTGCAACGTTCTGTAAAGGATACGCAACTAACTTATAGTGCATTGGACATGCGCTGAGAACAGAATTACAAGACAGGGCCTGAAATAGAAAACAAACAGTCTGAGAAAAACAGGACATCCAAGGGATTAATTAAGAAAAACATTATGACGAGAGGTTAAATAATGCTAGGCTGGACTCGAATAGAGCGGAGTCGAGGTATCGAACACGAGCTTCGGGTGACGTCTAAGGGCACGCAAAGGATGCTGATTATATTTATATTCATATACCAATGAAGGCTCTATAGCCGCAATAATCGTTTCTTGCTTGTGATAATGTAAAACTGGGTGGTTCTACGTTTCCTTTGCTTTGATATCTTGACATGAGATTAGTTTTGTGTCAACCCTCTACTACTCTCGACCTAGTAACGCTACATAAATCCCAAGTTGTTTGTTATCATTCTTCTATTGTCACTAGAATGTAACAGGTGTTTTTTCCAGCAACACACAGGCTAAGCGTATTAACTATGACACCTCAAACAGGTAACTTTGCTCTTTACAACACCTGCGACCTGTCAACTCTACCTGTGACAGCCCAATCTTACATTTACATTACAATATTATTTTCTAAAGACCCCAGGTGTTGCTTCTTCAGCTGTTACCGACACCAACACTTTGTTTCTGCAGTTTTTAAGTTCCGAAAGATGTGACATATGCGGAACGGTTCACAGAAGGTGTTTAGTTTTCACATAAATCTAGGAGGATCGTCGTTGTAGTTACGGAGTTCCTGCGTCGTGCAATGCTCTCGGCATGCGTCTTATCATTCTGGAGAGAGAGAAAGAGAGAGAAAGAGAGAGAGAGAGAGAGAGAGAGAAAGAGAGAGAGAGAGAGAGAGAGAGAGAGAAAAGAGAGAGAGACTAAACCAGACTCTACAGCTTAAAGCAATGAAGTCGACCCTGTCAGGTTTCATCGCCTTTATTATGTTTTCCTTCGACCTTTAAAAGGCGACTGGTACGCTGTGTAGTGGTTCACCGCTAGGCTGCGATATATGCGCCTTTTTCCAGACATGAATTATCTTAAGTTTCAGTAAACGCTAAATAATATCAATTCTCTCATGCCCATACGCACAGTACGATAGATATTTCTCGACCACCACCACCCCCCCCCCCACCCCCTTTTTTTTCTCTTTCCCCCGACAACAACCCATTTTTTCCACCTATTATCAAATATATCATTCGCCACAACGCACTTAAGAAACCTGGCCTTTGTCATTTGCAGGTTTGAAAGTAAATGATAATCTTTTTTTTTTTAATAAAAATATTTTTTTCCTTGACCTTCTACTACAAAAACCTTCAGCGACTGAACAAGTTAAGAGAGAATTGGCTGTAAAATGAACATGTGTTTGTAAATGTACAATTTACACTGGTTTGTGATACGGGTAACTTCGATTATCTTCGCCAAGGTAAACTTAATGAGATACGCCCTTGGGTTTAAGTGGGATTTTGTCACTGCACTGTTTCAAAACTTGTTATTAGCAGTGAAATGATTGAAGGCAAGAGAGAGGTGTTGTTCTGTGTGGCAACACCTGTGGCGTTAGAAATGTAAAAAGATGATTTGGTCTCTTTTGTACGCGTCTACGTCAGTTAATGCTTTCATGTGTCGACGGCTGGAGAGAGAGAGAGAGAGAGAGAGAGAGAGAGAGAGAGAGAGAGAGAGAGAGAGAGAGAGAGAGTCGGGCGGGAATCTTGGAAGGGATAGATGTAGTGTAACAGGACGGGAGAATAAACGGTAGACGCAACAGCAAACGGATAGATATATAGATAGATCAAGAGACATCGCCCGGCTCGCTAGCTCAGTTGGTTAAACATGACTGCGCGGCGACCGGGTGACGAACTCCTTGTAGTCCGGGTTCACGACTGGGGGTAGGCATAAAGACTACATTTCTTCAAGATTTAAGGTAACTATCATGGAATTAAGGCCGAAGGGTTGCGGTATCCATAGTACCGAACAGAACGTTTAACAACTCGTGGTTTCTATATATTGAAAAAATAAAGAGACTTTAAGAGACCAAGAGACCGATAGAGAGACGAGACTGGCAAATAAGTGAACAGGCCGAGAGACGGAAAGAGGGGCAGACGCACTGACGTTTTTAGAGACCGGTTGCAAACAAGAGCGTTTATACACAGACATGCAGATATAACTTGGAAGACCTAAAACGGCAGGCAGACAGGTGGACAGACACAATTATGATAAACAGTCAGGCAGACAAAATTAAATACATGAACAGAAAAGCCCAAACATAAAAAAAAAAAAAACAGACTGGAGGACAGACAATAGACAGACAGACGGCCGGTCAGTAGGACAGGTAAACTGACCGACAGTCCGATAGATATGTTCGTATTTTTGTGCATTTGCCTCATTATAATTCCTGAACTTTTCTTCTTCTTTGTTTCACGGCCGTAAACTCCCTCGGAAGGCCCTGACTGTTCGTCTGTTTAGACTTTGACTTTGTGCCAGTGTCTTAGTTTTACGTGTACATCCGTTTTACTGACTTATTTGTGTGCAGTGGTTCCTCCATGCCACTCAGGCAGATGCATTCCTATTTCGAATTAAGCCCCCACTTAGTCTACTCCTACGACATGCTTGCTGAAGATGCAGTGGGTCTATTCCACTCACACTGGGACCACGGAACCCACATGTGAATCTTCCATTCTAAAACAAAGCCTGTTGTGTCAGAGGCCCTATTCCTTGATTAACCCCGATAGCTTTATGTGCTCTCTTAATTTTAAACGTAAGTCGGAACATACTAAGAAATCTGGCTCCCCTAATGCAAATTATGTTTGTATTGCCGCTTTGATAGTAATACATTAGTGATCGTTCTACTCTGGCATCCGATGTGAAACTTCCAGGCATTGAAAAAGTTAGCACTGCTTTCTGTGACTACTGGTACAGAGGTTTCCTGTTAGATGACCAAACCATTTTATCCGTTAATTTTTATTAACGGTATGACTGATTTGTTTTTTACTGCCCTATTTTTCATGATGAATAAACAACCAAGCTTAACAAATGCGTCCAGGTACTATCTTCTCACCTTCCTCTTTTTATGTTTTTTTTCTTTCAATCCTGCCAGTTGTTACAACAATCTCAAGTCTATTTCTTCTGACATGTTCTAGTTACCACTTTCGTCTGTCTCGATAATGACTTTTTTTCGTTTTTCGTTTTTAATCACTCCATGATATTCTTTACATTGTTCTCAGAAACCGCATCTCTTCTTTGTTCGTATTTTGTCGTCTCACTATCACCAGGTTGTAACACTGTGTCCTGGTTTTCTGTGGTTGTCTTGCGCTTCTCAGGCGGTTTGAGGGATGGATTTGTTCAACTTTTTGCAGGTTTCATCTACACCATTTATCTATCTCTTTCTTGGTCTTCCTATCGCCTTCCTCTCAGATGTTCTATTGTAACAAGTCTCATATGTAGTTTGGCCTAGCTGCATTATCACTAGATGGCCAAACAGTTTCATTCTATGTCTGTCAATATAATCCAGACATGGTTTTATTTCAACTTTATCTCTAATGCCGGTATTCGTAACACTGTCTCGTCTCGTAAAGTACTGTTAGTTGAATGAACCACATCCCTCCCTGTTTAACAGCATGTCTGCTTATTGCAAATGAAGACAACAATACAAGCTCTACTTAACACTTGAACAATATTTTTCTTACTGCAAATAAAACAACAGTAACAGCCATCGTAAATCCCTGCACTATACACACTAAAATATTCTTTAGAAGTGCCCTGCCTCTCACACTTCTATAGTCCCTTTCAAAAACCTGCCCATATTTACACAGTAACTGGACGCCACTTTCTGTGACATGAAAAGAAAAGCCAGCTCATTTTTTTTTTTTATTAATCATCTCCAGTTTACATACCTGTCTGTGCATTTTTATACCTTACATTTATCTTGCTGTGCGACTATTTACACATTTTCCATTTTTCTTTCATTGTGACTAATTGGTGGTTTTTCAGGTGGCCAGTACAAATATTTTATTGCTGGTTAGTCATTTGTACCGCTTTGATGTGAAATTTAACTTGTGATTTATGTAAACACTATTCGTTGTGTTTTAGTTCTTCCCTTCTATTTTCGTATAGGATTTGTTTATCGGCAAAGAGATTCGGCAATTAGACGAAAACGCTGAGAAAAAGTTGCCTGAAAGAAAACGAACTTGAACATTAAAAAAAAAGTTATGCCGGTCTCTTGATGATCATTCTCTCTCTCTCTCTCTCTCTCTCTCTCTCTCTCTCTCTCTCTCTCTCTCTCTCTCTCTCTCTCTCTTCTCTCTCTCTCTCTTCAATAGTTTTCTCCGTCTGCCCTCACAACCTTTATGTCATCTGTCTTCATCTCATATCATACCCGCTCTTCATCTCTCTTCAAATGTTTTCTCAGTCTACCTCACAACCTTTCTTTCTATTTGTCTTCATCCAACTAACATCATATACCTCTCTCTCTCTCTCTCTCTCTCGCTCTCTCTCTTTATCAACCTTCTGAAAAGAAAGTTCGTGTATTTTCCCCCT